TTTGCCCGCCTCATTTCACTGGATTTGCCTTTCCCTGCAGCTTCAGTGACTAAGGGGAATGTATAATGATTATCCATACTGGTTTCTCATTTCTTCTGATATTCGTCATCCCACGAGGCATTTGAACCAGCTTCATGGCCTGCTGGTGTTTCCATCCAGGAAGATGGCTGCCAATCTTGCTTACTCTCATCTTGGTTCATGTTTAGACTTCTCATGATAAAGAGGATAGACTGTGTGTGTGTGTGTGTGTGTGTGTGTGTGTGTGTGTGTGGTTTAATACACTGTGTGTCCTCCTACATTCTTTGGTGCAAACACTTGTCATGTTTCATTTCAGGTTCTGAAAATAGATGACTAACATTTTATTGTTCCAATGATGCTTATCAAGTTGCTTTCCTTTCTTTTGAACAAATGGACCTGGAACTCTGGAAATAGATGCAGTATTTGGTATTGTAACTGCAGGATTTTAATGGTGTAAGTCTGGTCTCTAGAAGCCCTAAGAAGGCAAGCTCAGCCCAGTTAAAGTCACAAGTAATACTGAACAAAAGAAGAAAAGATATTATTCAATATGGCCACATTGGAAAAAGACATGGGTAAAAAGGTCCAGATGACCCCATGTCTGTCTTACTGATACTGACAAGAGGTTTAGGCTTCAATAGAGGGCAGGGGATGGGCATGACAAAGCAGTCCTAATCAGAGTAGGCTCTTGCCTATCATTGCTCCATCATTTTTTTATTTTATTGAGCTCTACATTTTTCTCTGCTCCCCTCCCTGCCTCTCCCCTCTCCATCAACCCTCTCCCATGGCCTCCATGTTCCCAATTTACTCAGGAGATCTTGACTTTTTCTATTTCCCATGTAGATTAGATCCGTGTATGTCTCTCTTAAGGTTCTCATTGTTGTCTAGGTTCTCTGGGATTGTGAATTGTAGGCTGGTTTTCTTTGCTTTATGTTTAAAAGCCACTTACGAGTGAGTATGATATTTGTCTTTCTGGGTCTGGGTTACCTCATTCAATATTATGTTTTCTAGATCCATCCATTTGCCTGCAGAGTTCAAGATGTCATTTTTTCTGCTGTGTAGTACTCCATTGTGTAAATATACCACATTTTCCTTATCCATTCTTTGGCTGAGGAGCATTTAGGTTGTTTCCAGGTTCTGGCTATGACAAACGATGCTGCTATGAACATAGTTGACTCATGTCCTTGTGGTAAGATTGAGAATCCTTTGGGTATACACCCAAACCCTGCTCCATCTTTGTCCCAGCTCCTGTTCTGCAATGTAGACCTACAAAGTGGTCTGATGAGACACTGATCTGTTCATAACTATCCCCACTACTACCTTTGGGACCTATCTGGCTTTAGTAAGATGGTTACCTGCATTCTAGAATTCAGCTTCATCTTCATGAATAATTGTCCTTATCTGGGGTCTGGCCTCTCTTGACAGCATTAGCTTCTTCTGGAATTTGAGTGGACTCAGGACAAAAGGTTACGGATAAATAATTTGCCTCTGTACATTCAGCCAAAGCATGCACACAAAATGGAAGTGCCCATGAGGAGTTAGACGAGCTACACCAACTCTGTTCACAGCTATCACAGAACATGTGTCATGCCAGGCATAGAGCAAAGGATCTTTTAGATCATATTACCACATATAGGCTCTTGCACGGGAAAGGCTGGTCGTTTTAAAGGTTATTCTGACTTAGCTGCCGGAGAACACATGCATTTTGCTGTCTGCAAAGGGAGGGTCTTGTGATTTGTTTAGTGCCATCTTTCCCTATCCTGTGGACATTCATCCTCCTTATCACTGTGCTATAGAAGCATGCAGAAGAATCTTCAGTAGCTCTGTGCTTCCGGAGCAGCAGGAGAGCAGTCATAACTTGAATAAAGAACTACTACTTAGAGAACAAAGAGACTGAGACAAGATCCCATAGTGCCCCTACGCTCCCCGAACTCCTCCTCTGTCTCTTGATTGATGGTACGCTGTCAGTGGCTTTAGCTTCCATTCTCTGTACCTCCCCACACATAACTGACTACTAATTATGTAGCCACATAGGGCTTGTTTATCATTCTCTGTGTGTGCATGATGTGCTTATATGGGCGCACACCACAGCGCGGACGCAGAGGTTAGAGGAGAGCTTTCTGGAATGGGCTCACTTCATCTACTTTAGCTGGCTTTTCTAGACTTGCTCCTTGGCAAGTATCTTTACTCACTGGCCATTGTTTACTTTAGAGAGAGAGGGAGAAAAAAAGAGAAAAGGAGGGAGGGAGGGAGGGAGGGAGGGAGGGAAAGAGGGAAGGAGGAAGAATGTTGCTGTTTGATAGAAAGCTGGAGGAAGAGGGCAAGCCGAGCCTTCCCAAGTGCTTTGGTGGTTTTGAGAGACTCATGTAACAAGTCTCCGAGTCCCTCAAGCTCACGTTTTTATGGCCACATTTCTGCATGACCTAAGTCTAGGATGACAGTGTACGCAAGCCTGACATGGTAATAAGACACATGAGTAAGTATGAAGTCTACATGCACAGTTCATCTTCCTGCTGAGCAGCACTGTTATTTTGTTTTTCGCATGTAGGCAGGTGTTAGTGGCTCCTGGTGGGCAGAACAGTCTGCATTCTCCATTCTCCCTGAGAGAAAGCCTCCTGGCAGGACACAGGATGCAAGCCTAGGTGGAGTCAGCAGAGGTGCTGTAGAGGGTCATATTCCTCCCTTCTTCATTTGGCTCTTACCATTTTTGAGAATGCTGCTGTTTGAGTTTTAAGAGTACAGCAGGGTGTATTCCAAACACTCTTGTCACTGATTGATTTGCTTAAATAAGTGATTCATTATTCCCACGTGGAGGCTGCTGGGGCAAATTAGTGTCAGTTACTCTGGTCATCCTGCTTCTGGGAAAAACAAGCTTTCTCAGGAGTGCTAAGACTGACTTCTCACAGAAAGAGGGGGCCGTTTGCAAGGACTTTTGATTTCCCTTTAATAACATGTAGCATTTGGTGGCACAGGACTGTCTAGTGAGCCCTGCTGAAGCTCAGCCTTCGTGCACAGATGGCATTACGTGGGGAGAGATCAGTGCACGATCTGCTGTTTATGAATGAAGAGTCCCCTCCCCTCTGTTAGGATCATGCTCCTTCCCTTTGCAGCTTTCTGAGAATGAGGTCAGGGCCGGGATCTAACTGCTTCTGGCTTAAAAATAGCAGCTCAGCTCCAAATTAATCTGATGCTATTTGCTGTAGAATGAAAAGTGGAGGCCTGCTTATGTGTTTGTTTCCTGTATACCTTTGCAAACAAGTTGTGAATGAACCCCATGTGAAGAGGCAGGGCCAGCCAAGAGCGAGTGCATGGGAGCTGGGCACTGGTGATTGCGGATAGGCTGTGGGAGCTGCTTTTGTGTCGTGGGAGCCTTGATTGGAAAAGCAAAGCTGAAGAGGGAAACAGACCCCAGTTGTGTAGTACTCTCACTGCTTCTTCAGAAAGAAATGCTCACAGTTGTTGAGGACACTGTGTTCCTTGTATTGTGCCCAGCCATTTTCCAGTGTGTAGCCAGCTGATATCTCTCTTCTATGCTTTCATGGAGTTTTATAGTGTTTAAAATGAGTATTACATGCACATTGCATTATTTATCAACCATATTAGCATACACAGAAAAACACAGGAGTGTGAGATTTCCTCTTACACACACACAAGCGTGCGCGCGCGCACACACACACACACACACACACACACACACACTAGTGCACCACAGCCTGATCATGCCTTGTCTTTGCAGATGGTGGAGTTAACTTCCGTCCATCATCCCATGCCAGCCCAGTTTTCTCATGTGGCTTGCAGAGATTGACATTTCTAAGGATCTTCCCTGCAGTCTTTTTAGGATTTGAGTATATCTAAAGGGCTGGGTTTGAGCATTAGGCAGGCATTGTGTGTGGTGATGATGTTTCATTTCTAATCTCAGCCTTAATTGTTGGCTGTTATCATCTGTTTTGATGGTACCATCTTTTATTTGCAGTAATTGTCTCCTCCGTGAAAGATGAAATGAACACATTGGAACCTTGGGTGAAGGACAGAAGTGTCAGTAGCAGCCTGATGTGTTACATGTCCGTTCAGTGGACTTTTATGTAGCAGGTGCACGTTGAAGGAGATGCCAAAACTGTCTTTTGTATTCGTAATGATTGATCTTGAGTGAGCGCATAACGTCTTAGAGATTGTCATATAACTAATTGGCCAGATGGATGACCTAATTGGCTTTTTTGCACTTAAATCATTTACCTTTTAATACGTGAGAAATCCTATAAGCACACATTGAATCGAGAAAATTTATATCTATATAGAAGTGTGTGTATACCCATAGCTACAAATATACACACACTTACACATTCAAAGAGACATCTGTAGTAGCAAATGTGTGCTTTCCAAATGGATATTTCTTACATAGTGACAGAAAGCAGATTAGTGTCTGCGACTAGAGGCTAGAGCAGGGATTATTAATTTCACAAGCACGAAAGATCTTATTGAGATGATAAAAATGTTCTGCAACTGGATCACAGTGGTGTCACATAGGTTGGTAAATTTCCCAAAGGCCACTAAAGAATTCACTTAAAATGGGTTTATTTTCTAGCTCAACCAAGCTGTTAGAAGTGATCATTCCCTTTAAGTCCTAGGGCAGGTAGAGGAGGAAAGACTACATCCTCCCAAGTCTTTGTACTTTCTCTTTCCCTTTGAAGTTTATTGACTTCAATTGTAGAGAAGCTGGTCCTTGAGGTGGCAGGGCCAGATAAGAAAAATCAAAGACGTGGCATGGAGAAGTCTGCCCTGACCCCTATTGGCCAGGAACAAGGTTGTTCCCACTGCTGGGTGAAGAGCCATCTTCTAAATTGTCACAGGCCCCTGAGCACAGGAGATACGGAAGCAGGTTCTGGAGGTCGTAAGCACTGTGCCTCAACCAATCGTTGCTGTCAATCAGAAATGCAGACATTCTGGTCCCAGCCCTTAAGTAATGGGATGTTTATCTTCTTTTGCAGGTCGTGTTAGTCTTTGCTCTCAGCATTGGTGCCCTTGTAATATACTTCATAGACTCATCAAAGTGAGTATGCATATATGTTGTCTTGCCCATTTTTCTAGGTCAACTGTGACCCCTTACATTGATGTACTTAATTAACACTGGCCTTTGCAAGAATCTCCTGCGTGCTGAAGGCTTGGATGAAGGCAGGGCTGCTCTGTGTCGCATTTCTGAATGGGAAAACATTCTCTCGAAAGGAAGGCTATTATGCTGTTATGGGAGGGAGAGGCACTTGGGGACCAAGCATCATTGCTGGGTATTTGTTTGTAATGAGCTAGTTCCTGATGGAGTATTTGTACTGAGGATGCCAAGAAGTCAAGAAGGTTTTCATGGGAATGTGAAACCTCTGGGAGAGGTGACAGAATCCAAGAGATGAGTCTGAGCCATTCTAGTCCCGGTCATAGGATCTATTTATAATCCAGGCTTAGGTCATATGGGAACATAGACTGGAAAACCCTGCTCTAGGATTTCACCTGCCAATAGAATATGCAGCTGAAGCAATGGTCGCTGTGTTTCTTCACTTATGGAAGGAAAGCAGGAAATGGGCTGAGGCTGTTCATGAGGAAACCCAGAGACAGGTCTGTGGCTCTCTGAGAACCTGTAGAGAACAGTGCTCATGCAGACCCTTCGACTGGCTGTTTAGTGATCTGGTGCTCCAGGGTAAGCATAGTTCACAGATGGTGATGGCTGTCTGGGAGGTGGATGAGACCAGTCACCATGGCTACCGTTAAATGCTGTGGGTACCACTACTGGTTGCATCACTCGTTCCAGCTATCCTACTGCAATCTCAAAGTTGACAGCATCTGAAGCAGACAGATCTGGGGATGAATTTGCTTGTCTGTTTGGACACAAACTTGACAGCTGTAGCCAAGAAAAAGAGCCCTTGAGCTTGCCAGCCTCGCTGAATACCTTGAGACTGTTTTTCTTTCCTCTAATATTAATTCTGGGTAGACCCTAGACTTTGATCCTGGGACACCTGCCTTGTGTTCCTGCTAGTTGTTAGATATGCCGCAATTCTGAACTTAGTGTTTTTTTCCCCATGGCACACCTAAATTCTGAATTTCCCAGAACTATCTGATCACTAGCCAGGGGATTTTGTACATTTGGCTCTAGAGGCCAAACTGTCACATCCAAGAAAATAAAAGAAACATGTCTACTCATCCATGTCTGGAATCTGCCAAGTATGAGGCCTTCAGGAGTCTCTTAGCCCACCTCAGACACAGGGTGTACCCTCACCTGTCTTGAGCCCTGGGTCCTTTAGACATCCTCAGGGGACAAGGTTGTGCATATTTATTTCATCTGAAATCCCTAGTCAAGAAAAAGAAGAACGTAATTCAGTCTGGAAGACTCCAGTTGTCTTGGTGTTAAGGTAAGGCCTCTTCTTGTATTTACTCAGAGTTTCTGGACCACATTTGAAGTGAACTAGAACTCTTAAGCCGTTGGTCATCTCTCTCCAATCTCTCTCCAGGGGTCATGGGGTACAAACCCTGCCACCACCCGTGCTGGGGCTTAGGAAGGAGGTTCGAACATGTAGTCTGTGTGTCCCAGAGAGAGCACACACTCATGCGAAGGTGAGTGTGGAGCTCTGCTAAAAGGACAGATGCCTCGGCCATGCCTGCCTTTCCCTCGTCTCCCTTTCTGCCCCTTTGTATGCTATGGAAATAAAATGTTGCTGGTAGATGGATTTGGACGGTGTCTTCTTTAAATTGTGTCTACTGGGAGTCAATCTTAGGTGTTTTAGAGTCTGGTCTTCCACGGGAGAGGATGGCAAAGCATGCTGTTCTCCTAAGTGGATGCTCTCTGCTGATGTCTCGCCAGCCTCCAGTCGTTTGGGATTAGTCCTGACTCTGCTAAGTCTTGCTGAGGTTGATGCTAGAAACTCTGTGATTCTGGTTCTTTTAGGGTCATGCAAAGAGTCTGTACCAAGGCTGATCTTTAGTTCTGTTTTTCACTTTCCCCAGCAAAAATGCCAGTGATCTTAGATACAAGATTGTCTTCATTCCGCATTGATGCTAACCAAGCCCTCGTAAGGTGTCAGCCTCTCTCCTCTCCTAACCAAGCAAACTGTGTGGTTTGTTAGAACAGACTTAGTTTAGCAGAACACCAGTCGCTACATACGTAACTCTGCTTTTCAGTTCTACCTCTTCATCTGGCCTGAGATTATAGCCTAAAAGACTCCAACCTGTGGAGAAGCCAATAAGCAGCCTACATAGAGAATCCATCTTTCCAGGGGATCCATTAGGCATGCTCAGTTTAAGAAGATGAAATAAAATAAAATCTATAGTGCTAACTTTATGGTAAGCCTAGAGACATGGTTCTCAACCTGTGGGTCGCTACCCCTTTGGGCCCAAATAAACCTTTCATAAGGGTTACCTCAGAATCTCTGCATATCAGATATTTACATTAAAATTAATAGCAGTGGCAAAATTAATTATGGTGTAGGTAGCAATGAAAATTTTCTGGTTGGGGTCACCACAGTATAAGGAATTTTATTAAAGGGTCTTAGTATTAGGTCTTAGGCATAGTCAGAATATCCAATGTAAACTATTAATCCAGTTGTAATCAAGTGTTGTGAATGAGTTGAGATAAAACTCTAAATACAAACTACAAATTGAATGAGCATGAGAAAGAAGAAGGCAAATTCTTGAAGTCTATCTTTTAAACAGCTACTGATTTAATAGAAATAACTTGGCTGACTATCTTAAAAGGAGCTTAAATTTCACTTAAACATATTAGCAAGTCATTGCCCTAGGAAAAAATACCTGGTATTCTTGAGGTGAATTTGTATTAGTGTTAACCTTCTACAAATAAATAAATCAAGAGTAATGCTCTTTGGATTGAGATGGTTTGCAAAATTGATTTTCTCATTACAATTAGACAGACCTGTCTTCACCCAGTTGGTAGACTGGAAATGTCCCAGCTACAGAAACTGGATGCAAAGCTTACCACACCTGGCCCTTTGGGAAGTGCAAAGAGAGGTCATGGAGATGACCCAGTGGGTAAGAGTATCTCCTGAGCAAGCATGAAGACCTGAGCTTATGTCACCAAAACATTCCTGGAAAACTGAGCATGGTCCCATGTGCCTGTAATTCTAGAGCTTTGGGGGATGGAGACAGGAGAATCAAAAGGGGCTTGTTTGGCTGCCATCTTAGCTCTGGGCTTGGTGGGAGACCGTGCTTTAAAGGACTAAGTCAGGGGGTGACAAAGCAAGACACCTGACATTCTCTTCTGATCTCTGCTTGCAAGTACGCCACACGTGCGGAAGCCACACACATGGAAAAATTGTAAAAGATTTAAAAAGAGTTCTGCAAAGGAGGCAGATGAGCTTATGAAACAGTCCCGGGTGGACTCAGTTGACTGTTCTCAGATGGGCTGAGTTAGACCTTCCACATGGGCAAGCAGAGCAGATTCTTATTGTGCCTTAGTGAGTCACAGTGGAAAGGCAACTCAGTTGAGGGGAGACTGTGATTGACAGGTGTGATTGTAATTGTAATTTGTCATCTTGCTCACCTATGGAAAATCATCGACTACAATATTCCACACATCTTTGCTGAACTTTCAGTCCTTAGTCCAAGACAGACAGATCCCCAAGAAAGTCTTGTTCAGTGATATTTTTGCAAATACCCCCTTTGGATCTTCATTTTCTTCATGTGATCTCTGTGGAAAGAACCATTTGAATTATTTCCAGTGATGACTATTTAGTTCCACAATATTGTCCTGAAGTCAACAGATAAAGAGAATCACATTAAAAATGGGTTCAAAGGGTACTCCATTATCCCAGTGGAAGACACTGGAAAGATTCAGACAAAGGGAGTGTTATAGCAAGATCTTATTGGGATGGAAGAAATATCAGTTCCTTCGTGAGACCTGCAATCCCATCCTTCAGTGGTCTATGCTCTCCAGATGCCCCGCCTTCTAATTCTGTGTGTACTCTTTCTCCTGTGCACCCTGATTTCTATAAAGCAAAGACTTTTTAAAAGCGTACAGTTGGACGCCACAGAGATGCCTCAGCAAGAGAAAGGCATCGCTACATAAGGCTGACAAAAGGAATTTAATCCCTGGAACCCATCTTAAAGAGATGTGGTGATGTGGTTCTGTAAAACTAGTACTCCTGTGGTGATATGGGAAGTGGAGACAGAAGAATCCTCTAGAAGCACACGGGTCAATTGGCATGGAATATACAGTGCAGTATCAGACACAAGAGAGACTCTGCCTCAACATAATGGAAGGTGAGAACATGCTCTCGAGAGTTCTTCTGACCCCCCCACACCTGTACTGTGGCACATATCTGTCCATACTTACACACATATCATACACACACAAACATGTACACACATATATATATATATACACTAAATAATTTTTAAAATTGTACAGCTAAGTCAAATGTGCTCCTCACTTCCCTGTGAGTGTTAATATCACTGTTGTGTCACCAGATCAGTAATACTTCTGGAATAATAAGGGGTGGGAGACCTCATAATGTCCTCGTGAGAGGTAGGACCCATGGCGGGCATAAGGCAGCAGTCCTTACTGCTTCCTTTTTTCTTTTAAAAGAAAGTTGGAAGAAACAGCAGCTCTCAAAGCTCTGTGCATTTGCATTTTTCCAGTGGCATTCTGGGAAATGGTGACTCACATGTGGGGAGATATTTATTCCTTTGATTCATGCTTAAATGCTGCTCCTTCTTATGCTTCGGTTACGTGGATTATGAATATTTAATGCTGCATATACTGGAAATGAAGGTCAGGTCCTGCTCACTGGCGACTTCAAAGAAGCCTCAGTTCTGAAAGGCATACCACCTGCTGTTAGCAGAGTGAAGCGGAAAGGTTATGCATTGTTAAAATCCTCCTTAATGACTCTAGCTGTACCAGAATGGCTGCTGCACAGTTGGGGATGCCTGCTGGCTTTGCCAGCTTTTGCTCTTGGCTTCTGGTTTAAGCCCTGCAATTTGAGTGAGATGGACATTAGGAAAGGGGGGGAACTACAGCACAGATTCTGTAGTGCATCCTATCCAAGTGCTCCATTG